TGATCATCTCTTTGTTCACTTTTAGACAGGACAGGAGGACGTTTTGTGAAACCTGATGCTGGGTCAGTACTGTGAAGAGTCAAAGCCTTAATCACATGGTCAGTGGTAACGTTACATGACATCAGATCACCAGTGCATATGAAGACCTACACACACACACATGCACACAAACACACACGCCGCACACTGACACACACACACATTCATAACATCTGGATGTTTTTTGTCTTTTCTTTTTTTAAACATGACTAAGATACTCTAAGGTATTCCTGCAACAATGCATTCATTCACTCAGGGCCTGGTTTTAAATGAAGACACATGGAAGGAGTGGACTAACTTCAGAACAACGACAGTACTACGCTTACACGAGATATAAGATGAGAACTTGAGAAAACAAACGATTCATGGGACAAATATGGGAATTTGAAGAGGGTGCTGCAACCAAAGTTTGGAGAGCAGTGCTTAGAGGAGGGTTTCCCCTCACACCAAATTAGATGTTTAAATTAGTAAAACAATTTATGTACAGACTAATTCCAAAATCTGAGGGTGTTCTCAATCAAAGAATAGCCTAATTTAAGTGCCTCGTCATTTTAACCAAGGAGCACTGGAACCCCTGTACTCACCAAAACAAAACTTGCTGGTTGAGCAACATTTCAGCCTTTGTTTCAAAAAATAATTATAAAATGAGCAGGAAAAATAACAATGAGGAAACAAAACAACAATTTCACTACAGCAGTAAATAAAAGGACCAAAAGTGAGATTCACTGGAGTAAATGAAATCGTCATGTATCCGGTTTGGATTTGAATGGTTCAAGAGGTTCTAATGCTGTTTTTGTGGTGTTGAAAACACTATTTTCGGGGAACTAAGCATGGTAGAGTCGTTACCATTTTTCCCTTCTAATCATGGAATCGATCCCTTTATTTTGGAATGCAATCAGATGGTCTGAATCACCTCGGGAAGGCAAGGTAATCATTGAAACATCTTATTATGAATGTCAAAAGCTATGCCAGCTGTTCCTGCAGAAACAGGCAAAATCAATTGGCCAAACATCCACCACAGCAACATCTCTCAAATGTTAGAATTACAGTAAATATGGTGGCTTGAGTACCCCAAGAATTTGAGAGGGGTATGTTTACTTAACGGGGGAAATACCATTTCTAGTGCACTTGTCTTCTTGTCCAGTCTTTACATTGTCAGCAAATGCTTAAGCCATGAAGGAAAGGCCACTGTTACCCAACTGCAAATTCACAAAAAAGCAAGAACATATCCCTTTTAGCATACTCAAACAGCAAGTAGTTTTCTGAATGCAGAATTGTTTTGTTTTCTTTTTTTGTCGTTATTTTGCTGCTCTCTGTACAAAGACAATTTTCCTTCATAAAGTTACACATAACTTGTAGTAGAGTTCTGATATTTGTGGCCTGGCTCCATCAATGCATGTGTGTGAATGTGTTTGTGTGTGTGTGTGTGTACAGGTGTGTTTAGTAACATCTCCAAGTCTATTAATCTTGAAGTTTCCTCTTCCTCTCCTTAGATTAAGCTCCTGAACTTAGCTTGATGCTCAGAGCCCCCACAAAGCATATGGTTTGTCCTCCACTGCTGCTTGTCGGCGACAAACACAAACTGAAATCTCCAAAAGCCCTCAGAGCTGGGGATCAACAACATATCACCCCGTCTGAGAGGGGAATGAAAAAAGGATGCCGGCTTTTAATTTTCCGCTTTTATCCACTTCCTGTGTTAGCTAGCTTTGAGGGTGTCCCAGAGCCCGGAGTCGGGTCACCCCGCAGCCTTGTGCTTGCCCCCACAGCAGCGGCAGGCCTCGCCACAATGGTGGCAGGCGCGCAGGGGCAGGTAGCAGCACATGCAGGGTGCGATGAAGGAGAGCGCCACCAGGGCCAGCCAGCGTAGGCAGAACTGCTCGTCAGATGTGTCACATGAGCAGGGGTCTGAGAAGTCGCCCTCGGAGTCGGACATGCAGTGGTACAGCATGCTCTCGGCACACAGCATGCAGCTGACTTTGTAGATGCACTGCTTGATTGGGTCGGGGGCATCTTGGCACTGCCCCCGCCAGTTGTCTTCGTGGTTAAACATCTCTCGACAGTAGATGCAGCGTGAGCGCTCACCGTCCTCTCGCCGCCGCCGGCCCTTCTTAAACAGGGGCGAGGGCTGAGTCTTGATGGCTGTGTCCTTGCCCAAACCCAGCCCCATACCTGTTCCAATTCCCAAACCAGGGCCAGAGTGGGAGTCCCCACCAGGGCCGTCGGGGAAGAGGTACTCGCACTTCTTGTCCAGTTTGTGGAAGGCGGAGGGGAAGTCCATGTCCTCGCGGTCAGCCTCCTGTTTCCACATGACAGGGTGGCGGTAGTCCTCGTAGCCACGGATGACGTCTTTGCGTGGGTTGATGCGAACGATCTCCTCTTCGTCCATGTGGAAACTGACATGACGAGTCGACTTGAAGGAGACCTTAAAAGGAAGAGAAATTGACAGACATCAGTTGGTGTGAATTTTACATTCACTTTTTAATTCATGAAGTTACACTCAACTCAACACCTTCATGACAAACATATGTTTTTTTGGGGAACATGTAATTAAAATCTTGGAGATGCGACTGATGGTGCAGAGGACAGACAGACCTGTGGAGGCAGGTAGCGGCGGTTGCTGGAGGGGAACTCGTCAAAGGGCTGGGCGCGGACGTAGCAGCCCCTGAATGGCTCGTTGGAGACAACGTTGTTCAGGGGGGAAAATGGCTCTTTCATTGGCGTACAGATGGAGGGAGGCTCATCACACACCTGGAGAAATTCAGACAAAGAAATCAAGTAAGGTCAGGTAAGTTTGATGGGTTGAAAGAAAAAGAAAAATCATCTGATATCCCAGATATTGAGTTTCCCCTTGACAAGACGAATATAAATGAAAATGAAAAACATCTATGTGCTGAAAAGAATGATCCAGTACTTTACTCGCTGACACTTTAAGATAACATTAATATTTCAGAGCAACCTAAGTAACAATATACTACTTTAAGAAATCTCTTCTCTAAAAGAAATTGTGATGTGTGTCATTATAACATGATTTTTAAATGAATGCATGAATTATTATTTGGAGACCTGAACATCTATGATTGTCACAATATTTTACCATAACATTCAAAAGCACCACAGGTCAATCAGTTCACTTTTCATGTCCACAACAGTTTTGACTCAGGGTGTGTAGACTGAGCGTGTTCCACTTGTAACCACCAGGGGGAATCCTGCTCCCACTCTTGGCCAAATGACTGTGCTGAGTGGTGATGACTCAAGGCCCTTCTGTTAAGAACTCAGAGTTCCCATCAGCCTTGCATGTGTTCCCACAAACATTTAACTGATGCAAAATCTACAAACACAGGCCTAAATAAAGAGGCGCTTGAAGCACGCAACGAAAAAAGAAATCAGAGAAATGTTGGAAACCGAGCGAGGAAAAGCAAATAGGAGCGAACATTCCTTCCACCTCACGCCAAACAATCACATAATTACAAGAGGGAATCTCAGTGTTGACATCAGCGAGGATGATACGTCCATAAATAACATCTGGTGAATGTCAAAGACGAGATCGAATTCAGCAAAAATATGTCTACACATCAGACACAATATGAAATAAATAGTTGTAATAGAAAAAGTGTGACGCTCTAGTGCTCATGGCAACAAAGTGAAAAGGAACGGTTTCATGATTCATGTGTGCAGAGGTGATGAGAGATGGGGGAGGATGGTCACTTATTACATCACAAGCCTTCTGATGATATTTGGTGTCCAGCGTTATTTCAGCACAACCAGCTTGTTCACGCAGCAAACATCACAACACGAATCATCATAAAAGTTGATTCAATTCCAACTATGACGCTGTGTTGTCTTTTTCAATGCAGCCGAATAAATTACGAAACGTGTCTCTTCAAGGTCAAGTCCCACTCAGAAACACACAAACATGAATGGACACACGCCGAGGCATCTTCACACGTATGATCCAACTGGCCTCGTCGACACTAACCAACTGTCCCCCTCTTTTCCCACACTCACCCCTACCTCATCAAGGAAGGTTTAGTCCTCCTCTCTTCTCCTTCTCCCACCCTCTCTCCCTCCCTCCCTCTCTCTGCTCTGCATGTGGAGGAGGCTGCTGGCTCTGGTTAGTCAGTGCCGTGTGTAAAGTAGCCCACGCCAGTGCTTTAACGCACAGCGGAAATCTGGTTTGCTCCCAGCTGCTGCTACAGTAATTACTGTCCTGTGGTTGCTAAGAGATGCTTCCTTTGACTTCTTTTTTTCCCCTCTCTTTCTCTTCTTTTTTTCACCCCTCTCTCTCCTCCGCCTCCCCCCCTCTCTCAGACTGCTAACACATGGTGTGTGTATGTGTGTGTGTGTGACTTTGCTCCCTTCTTTGCCTCCGAACATACCAAGTGGTGTAACGCATCTACGTCTACAGGGGAATGTGAGGAATAGGAGAGAGGAGAAAGAACAGAACAGGAAAAAATGAGTTTGTGTTGAATTTGTGTGTGTGTGTATGTGTGTGTGTGTGAGAAAGAGAGAGAGAAAGAAAGGGAGAAAGAGAGCAAGAGGCCAAAGTGTCTGCAGAGGGAATGTCATAAACCAGCTCCAGCTGGAGAAATGCAGCACAGAACTTAAAAAGCCAGATGACAGCTGTGTGTGTATGTGAGAGAAAGAGAGAAAGGAGCGCGGGGAGGGGGGGTGGGGGGCGAAATGGGAAACAGACTTGGGCTTCCTTTTAAAGCGCTCGCCTAAGCCCCACCATTCAAAGGCATGCGTGGGGGCCAATCTGGAGCTGATCTGACCCTAGAGATGTGGCCGGGTGAGGGAGGAGAGGAGACGGGGGAGATGGGAGAGGAGGGAGTGGGGTGGTGGGAGCCAGGGGCAACCTGGCTCCACACCAACACCAGGGATCCGTGCACTTCCACCCTCAAAAGGCACAGGGGCTCAGGACTGGGAAGGTTGGGGTCGGCCCACATACTGGAAAACCCACTCAGCGTACAAGCTCTCTGCATCACACAGAGAAGAGAATGGAGGAGAAACGATGATGAGCACATTCAGAAGTCTGATCGCCAATATTAAATCATTTATGTCTGTGAAAATATGTGTTACTCACACTAGGCTCATGAAGCAAATCTAGAGTTTTAAAGGTACAGTGTGTAGAATTTTGTGATATCTAGTGTTGAAGTTGCATGTTGCAGCTGAACACCCCTCACCTCACCCTCTCCTTCCAAACATGAAGAACCTGTTGCAGCCTTTAATCGTCATTAAAAACTCAAAAGGTGTTTAGTTAAAACATGGCAGCCTCCGTAGAGAGGGTCCCCTCGATGTAAAGATAAAGTATTTAAATATAAAGGGCCTTTTCTCGGGTAAAGTAAACTACAATTCATACAATTATCACTGTTACAAACTAACTAGTGAAAACATCATGAGGATTATTCTACATCCTAAATCTCACTCACTGGACCTTTAACCAAAAAAGTACAGCCAAGTTACAGGGTGTTTCCCAAGTATCCCTTTTAGTAATCAAAATACACTTCTTCCTCTTTTTTACCAAGAGTTAGATGAGATAAATATTGTGACTAGAAAAGAGAAAGAGCTAATCTCGCTCTTTCCAACTACCAATACCTCGAAAAATGTATTGACAAAATCAGACACTGAACTGTAAATAAGATCATTTGTAATTTCAAAGAGGATTACGTGGAAAGATGGTTCCATGTTGTAGGATCATATTTAATAGATTACCATCACTCAATCGTCTTAACAGAATATTCCTTTAAACCGCTCCTCTTTAGTGGCTACACGGTTCCTTGTTAAACCACATGAAGTCTCAAAGTTTCTGCTTAAAGTGTGAGGCTGCACAAGTCAAGTAGCCAGCAAAACTTCTGTGACCTAAACTGATAAGAGAGAAAATAAAACTTCCTGCCAGAGCAAAATTAGATGCGGATGTTTTCCTGTGGCATTCAAAAAGTGCATTTTTCTGTGTGCCAGCGGAAGGACTGTGGCGGTACGGCATAATTCTTGGCAGTGGGTCATAACAGCTGAGTAGGATGTTGTGCAACCATGTTGTTTTTTTTAAATGGGTAAAATATGTTGGATGTACAGGCTACCATAAATTATACATATATATATCTAGAGAGAAACAGCAGTGTGAATTTATTTTGGAACATAAAGCCATGAAGATAATGTCACAACTTATACTGTGGTGGTATTTGCTACTTCTCCGGCTGCAGCACTTGTCACTGGTTCACTTCTCTCTTTCTCTGTAGCCCAGGTCTCAGACCGCAACATTCGGATGCCAAATCACCATGGTGACACCCTCGGTGGTTCACTCACTGAACCTTGTGAACACCCCACCACCACCTCCCTTACACCCCCACCCAACCCCCGCTGCCTAGCAACAGTGGTGCAATTGGATTTCCTGTACATTTCAGGCTGATTCCTTAAAGAGGAACTTTGCTGGTGGAACAGGAACGCCGCTCTGCCTCCTTCACTGCACATGGTACGGGGCGTCGGACACTGGGGCAGGTCAAGGGGGATGATGACATGTCGCTGGCAAATACAATGAACTCAGAGCTCGAGAACAAGCCAATGGTGTCGAGAGGAATGTCAAAATAAGATCATAAGGACAGTTTGTTGAACTGCTGGGGCCTTTTCTATAAGCAGTCTGAAAACTGGAAACACCATACTCTGCAATACAACAGCTCTAAAACAAATACTTGTTAAAGCTACCATTTTAGTTGTTGCACTTTGGCACACTTCTATATGTTGTACTTTTCTGTATACAGCACAGCATGAAAAATGACCAGCGTTGAATCAATACCTCTCTGACACAGTGTCAACAATCATTAATTACAACTTTAACAAAAGATGTACCTATTGCAGGACAGTTGTGTGTACTGTGCTACATTACAGATGTGCTAAGGTGTCTGTATTTCTTTTCACTCAGTGTTAGTAAGCATTTACAAGAACTGCCCTGCCTCCCACTAAAGTGTCTTTTCACCTACTTCACAATCAGAAGTTGAACAGGTGACCGACGTTCCTGTAACCAGCCTGATATCTAAAACAAATGAACATGGGCGTGTAGACTTGAACTATATACCTGCTGTCTTTCTCAGCTTAAGAGAACACAGTGCTCTTAACCACACACGACACAATACAGCGCTGCATGCCAAATATATACAATTCTTAACATAGTACATCTTAACAGTTCTGAATCTGTCAACAAAAGGAGGCCGAGCCCATGAGCGAACACATCTAGGCTGGAGAACGTTTAAATCCCAGAGCGTTTTCACCAAGCTGCGTTTGAACAACCAGCTCCTGAGGCAATACTTACATTACATCACCGTCCATTGTAATAAGAGTGACAGCTACCAGGTTAGATTGATAGAGAGGCAGCTAAGCTTGCTCTGGCACATTCGCTGGCCAACACCCAGCTTCACCTCAGGGTCTGGCGGGCATTGGTTAAACACCTGTAAATCTCTAAGAACAACTGTTCGAAAACAAAGGCAGGTGTCAGCGCTGGGCTGGGACACATCAGGGCTCAAGCATATGGCTCAGGTTCAAGCTATGACCTGCCTCCTATTTAACGGTGGGTGAGTGACAAACATAATTTTAAATATAGCTACAGTTGGTGCAGTTTAACCCTCAAATCAACCATTTCTCACTCCAATTTACTTGATTTAAAAATGACCAGTGTGTTAAAACAGGTTTAGATTGTGAAATAACTAAAACTAAACTAAATAACCAAAACAGAGCACAATAAGAATCCACAAAGAAAGCAAGATAAACACATTTCCTTTATACTAAAATCGGACTCACCGGTAGTCCATCCTCAGGAATATCGTCTTCCCCAAACGGCCGACATCCTGGAAGACAGGGAGGAAAGGATTCAATTCATGACCTCATATCAATTGAAGCATTGTGACAGTTAAGTAAATGAACAACAATTTAGATCAGTATAGTACAAACAACACGAAATGTACATGACAGCACTGTCTATGGCATTTATCTCAATTAAAAGCCCCTCACCCATAACATACTGAAACTGCATCAGGTTTTTGTCATTATAAAAAGGCACAAACAGACTTTTAGCATCTCAGCTAAATATGTTAAACAAAATCAAACATTTTAAGGGTCATCACGATCAAAACATCATGGAAAACCAGTGAAATAGAGATTTAGAGTCTTTCACTTTTTCCTACAAATGCTGGCAACCAACAAGATATTTTTTATTTCAAACCGTATAGCTAGATATTTGTGTAATTCACAACATATTCATCTAAACTATTCCACTGTCAATAGATGACATCTCCTCAACAAAGAATGCTTGAGCCAATAGATTTACAACACACTGATTCTTGTCAGGGCAGAATAGGCCAAGACTTCTGCTTTCCTCTCACTGTGCATAATGGGGAAATGAAAGCTGCTTTGTGTCAGTGGGGCACGTAGAAGTTAATGAAATATGCATGCCTAGAATAACGTAACCCCGACCTTGGCTAAAACGCCATGTGCCATTTCCGCATCCAAAACACCTCGTCTGCTGATGCTGGAGTCCAAGCTTGTGTTTCAGGTATCAGGCTGACCGTGTTACAGCTTTTCATTACCACAGAGAATTAAACTGGTTCTGTGGATGGCGTAACCCGAGAAGAGACACTAATGTCACCGGTATTTGTTACACAAAATGCTGTTTTTGTTAAGATGCTTTTCTCCTAATAAAGCAAGTTGCAAAATTTCCCATTTAAAGCTCACTAGTTTAATCGCCAAAATCTTGTGGTTTTTTTCTTGAATCAAAAAATATTGGATAAATGTACTGTTGTTAATTTTAATAGTTTTCATATGTGGAGTTCAGCATGTGCAATCTGAACAGGCTGTGAAAAAGTTTGTATTCTTGGATTGTCAATTCATGCTTTCGAGGTTTTCATCAAATTAAGTGATGAAGCTCAAGAGCAACATGGCAATAATGTCAATCAAACTATTCTGATATGTGATAATCACTTATCTTCATCTGCAACATGATAGGCAATACTGTGATTTGTTTCTATCCTACATTAATAGTATCCACGTAACTTTGAGCCTATAATATAATGATATCATATAGAACAACTTGTAATCATTGTCTCCTCTCATGTACTGATGGCCAGACTAGCAATGTAATTTATACACAACTCCATTAAGAAAAGAAACAGACCTAGATTTCTAGCAGCAACCCGAAAACACTTTGGAGAAAGTTAATAGAATAGCAATGTTGAACAAAAAAGTGATTAAGCCATTTCGACTGAGACGAAGGGGAAACTGGAAACAGTTTGTACCTGGGGGCATGAGGAGGTCCTTTTTTAAAACTTAGGTTCACTTAATTGTTAGCATCAGTGAGGCACTGAGGTATTAGTGAGCCTGTCTGCATCGAGGGAGGAAATACAGCAATACATGTTAATACCGTCTCTGCCACAGAGAGGATGAGAGGAATTCACTGGGCTTGTGTTAGACAGTCTGTCCATCAGTGTGTCTGTCTATCTCTGAATCACATGGAAAAAGGTGTGTGTGTGTGTGTGTGTGTGTGTGTGTGTGTGTGTGTGTGTGTGTGTGTGTGTGTGCATTGCTCCACTACTGAGAGAACAAGGCTTCCTGCAGCACGACTCTGGCAGTGCTGGGCCACGAAGCAGCCTGAGCCATGTGCCCAATGTTTCCATGGCAACAGAGGACTGCAAGACTGATACACACACGTGCGCACGCACACACATAAGCAAAACATATTCTCCCTCTCGCTGCCTCTTCTCTCCCCACGCACATTCACGCAGCAGTCCAGCAGCAGAGCGATGCAACAGGAATACAGAAGAACCTGGCTGCCTGGGCTGAGGAGAGGCATTACACAACACTGGCAGAATACAGAGGATGCCAGGAGAGAGTGGAGAACAGAGGGAGGGGAGGACAGCAGAGGAAAGGGAGAGAGGAACAAAGAAGTGCAGGCACCGGGGAGACTAAGCTCACCATCACCTGCTGTAGCTGACATTCACAGGAAAGAGTTGAAGCATGTACTAACAGAAAGAAACTAAGCAGCCTGTGGGAGAGTGAGAGGGGAATGTGTTTTTTTTTTACACTGAACAGCTACTGACCATCCTGTTACATTAATGACAACTGCAAACAAATATTTTCAGAATTAATAAATCTGTCAATTATCCTCTTTTTGTCTTGAAGTTAGTTAAGTCCACCAACCTTCCCAAATCAATTAAAGAAAATGTGGAAACGGTGAATTTCTGGCCTTTTATTTGATGAAAAAAACATTTATCAAAATGTTAGTGAATTATTTTCTGCCATTAAACTAATTTATCAATTGAGTAACATGGCCTTAGCGAACTCTCTCTTAAACCAACCAACCAATCAGCCCAGACCCCCGTCGTTAATTCAGTGTTATATTTATAGGAATCCATTATTCTCTGTACTCCATCTTAATGTGAAATTCACAGGAAAAAAAAGACTATCTACAAACCCAGCTATACACTTGTTGCCCAAGATTACCTTTAACCTAGACTCTTCTGTGTGGACCTGCTCCCAGAAGTTCAAATCTCAGATAATAGGTTGCGGCCAAGAAGCAACTGATGCCCAACAGTGATAAGCCTTTACAATATGTTCTGCTGTACCTCCTCTATGCTCCCCAGGGTTCCTGGGTCTAGAGAGTAATAGAGATTATAACTCCTGAGCCAGCCGCTTGTGTAACATGCGGCTGGGTGGCAGATTGCTGAGCTGGCAATTCTCCTGCTAATTGGATGACTTTGCAACCTCCTTTGGCACTGTACTGAAAAATAATGCTTATCAGGACCAAACTTAAATCAGAGACTCAACTCCACTCAAGTGTAATATCTAGTTTAGCTTAAAATGTGTATAAATGCCACGTTTCACACAGCCAGACCAACCTGTTTTAAGACCAGCCTAGCCAGTCATCAAACTTACTTCCATGTCTGAGCAGGACAAAAGCTCAACCTGGTCAAGTTTCCTCTGACTAAAGCTCTGCCCCTATCTCAAGTTGCCATCTATTCTATGTCTCAACTCCTGTCTCCCCCCTTCTTTCTTAGCAACCCTCCCTTTCCGTCCCATATCACCCACTACTTGGGCACAGGACCGCCCTGCCAGTCTCTGCAGGAAGTGGAGCGTTTATCTGGGCAGCTGGAACTGATAAGATAAAGCAAGAGGGGTCATGCTTGGGTGACTGAGCAGGCAGCAGTGAGAGAGGGAGTCTTTGACGTTAATCAACTCTATACATCTCTCCTAGAACAGATGCTAGGTCAGCCATTACAAGCTTGTGACAGACAGACAGGAATACAGGGCCGTAGACACCCGGCAACAGAAAGCATACCACATTTGCACACATACAACCGTATTATTTTACACGTATTGGATGGCAGCCAGCACACACAGTATAGTGCAACCTCTTAAGAGGGAATTCCAAACAACCCTGGTGTTTTGGTGATAGTGTGAGGGTGAAAAACGGGTGAGGGTAGTGAAAAGAAAACCTGTGGGCTGCTCAGATTTTCTGATACGGAAACAACAGCAGATGCTGGTTGCTTGATTTTGTAGTTAAGGTGCGTTCTGCTGACTTGCTACTGACTTTGTTATCTGGTTTTTCTTGCTTTTAAACTCCAGAAATTCACACATGCAGGCACCATAAACAATAGAGCAACACACACAGCACACACACCTTGGTTGATGTCCTCAATGGCCCGGCGTATGCCTCGGTCAAAGGCCCGGGCGTCAGCAGGGCTCTGGAACGTCAGTCCAAACTTCTTGTCGTTGATTCTCCAGTGGTGGAAGATGGGGTTGACCTTGTTGTATACAATGCCTTTCTGTAGGACACACTCCAGGACCACCTGACAGAACACACAAAAAGTTTGAGAAACAGCGTCAAGTTAAAGGCGGGCCTGGATAGAACTACAAAATGTATACTTTTGTTTTTTGTAGTTACATTTGGTCGAGCTATAAGTTGTTTGAAACTGCATAATTCAAAGGTTGGATGATGCTGCTGAATCTCAGTGGGGAACACACATGTAAATCCCTTTTCTTGTTCCTCAACCGAACCTGTTTAAATTTGTCACATTCTTTCATTCCACAAAATCACGGGTAAAAAGGAAAAGAGAGAGAGAGACTGAGAGCAGAGGCCTGCATCTGGAACTACACGTAGCACCAGAGCTTCTACAACGAAAAAGAAAAAAATAATCACCATAAGCCCAATAATTTCACATACTTTTTTGGATAATTTGTAAAACACATTCTAAATGGTGGGGTTTTCATTACAGTTGATGATAAAGTTGGAGAGCAGCGGTGGTGGCAGCAGAAGAAGGGAGGGCTGGGAGTGTGTTTTAGAGCCAGGCAGCCCAAGTGTGTGGCAGAGAGAGACTGTGTTTCCAAAGCCTATTATTAATCAGGGCTACTGGGCCGCCTCCCGGCCTTCCTCTAGGCAGATTAAATGAAATGAGAGACAGCCATTACAGTCTTTGAGGTTTTTTACCGACGTACACGAGAGGTGGCTTAATGGGGTGTGAATGTGTGAGCGAGCGTGCACACGGCGTTCTGCGCGAGCTGGTGTGATGAAAAGCTCAATGACCCAAGTGCTACACTGTGCATCTTCACAGCACAAATGCCTTGTCAGAGGATAACGGTCGCAAACCAATACTCGATGGCTAAAAGCAGATGGCCCCACTCCCCCTGGATCTGGACAACAGTCAACGCGCACGCTTTAAGACGCGGATACGTGGCAGCTGTACGAGAGGTTGAGGATATGTGATATGTGTGTGTCAGAGTGTGAGTGCACTGGTACATATTTCATTCTGAATGTCTGAGTGAGAGTTTCTTTTTACACTCTTTGATATGATTGTATCTGGATGTGGTGAGGATGTGCTTTCACAGTGTCTACCCCATGTGTCACTATTACATACATGCCTTCCCAAGAAAAGGAGGGGCCAGGGTTAATCCTGTTTGTTTACCCAGAGGCAGTGGATGAAGAGAGGGATGGATGTGAGGAGGATGGAGAGGAGTTTGGGGGTAGGATGGGGTGAAGAGGTGGTGTGGTGGTGGTGGTGGTGTTGGGTCCTCTGTGCCTCTGGGGCCGATTGTGGAGGCGAGACTGAATGGAGCCGGAGCAGGTAAGGTGAGCGCACAGCGAGGCCAACGGAGGAGGAAGTATCACAGTTGCATGGAAGGACGATACTTAACACCACATTCCACACTGTGCTCAGAGAAAAGAGAGGGGAGGAGCCACGCTGACAGAAACGGAACAGAGGCAGAGGAGATGTTAGAGGAGAAGAGGAGAGGGGACGGAGACAGACGGAGGTGAGACGTGCAGGGAGTAGTGAACAGCTAGCGTGGGAGCAGAAATGGAGGGGAGATAGAGATTTACATGTATACAAGAGACGAGGTGGAAATCAGGCTGCAGGCTGAAATTACAACCGTAAAGACATTTTAATAAAAATGCTTGGAATAAAAGGACATAGGATCATCATAATTGTGCCTTGCTCTATAATGGTTATATAATAATTATGATATTCAGGGACGGACTTTAAGGTTTGGCCCTCGTTGAAACTGACAACCCCCCCATTCAAAGCTAATAAACTCCATTTTATAAGCAAAAATAAGTCAAAACAATCAAATGATACAGTTAACAGTTAACAACTGTATCCGTTTAGATTAAGCCTGGTCCACACCACAGTCACAGCTGTATCAATCACAGGGAGTCACAGGCGACGAACGACAGGAAGCGAGGTGGAGTGGCAGAGAGCTAAGCCAGAGATTTGTCATAATCCAAGAGCCAGTATGGTAAGTAATCATTAACTAATTAGATCTGTAGTTTTTAAGAGTAGGGGAGAGACAGAGAGAGTGAGACGGAGAGTGTGAGAGAGGGGAGGGGGCAAGGAGGAGAGTGATTGGTAGCTATATGGAGAGCCAGCTGAGTCATCACCAGTACACTCTGTGCCGCATCACTGCGCATATAGACAGATCCCCTCCATTTCTCCTCTTCCGTCTCCCGTCTATCTAGCTCCACCTCTGTTTCCTGCTCTTTGACTACACCCACAGCTCTCTTCCCTGATTCCTCTCATATCTTATTCTCCTCAATCACCTTGTTTCTTGCAGATGAAATCGTGCCTATTTTTTTTATTTTGAAAAAGCTCCACCTCTGATCTGCTTTTCATCCAGCTCAGGTCTCTGTCAGGTGCTTCTCTATCCTCTTTCTGGCTGAATTACAACACTGAAATTGTATGCATATCTACATGGAACAGTATTTTCAATTTCTGTGTATTACACAATAACAACTCACACCAAACAGCCTTTCTAACACCTGGAGCTCTTTACTTTTTCCAGTCCTCAACACAATTCATACAGAATGACTATGGTCTCTCTTTCACGTCTGAAATCAACACTCTGACATTGCTCTTGTAAACAATACAGTAGAAACAAGCAGTGACATTGCCCTGCATTTTTTCTGACTATAGCTAAAATGTTCCTTTGTGGTTGTCTTTGTTGCTGTTGTTTACTCTTCACTCCGCCTGTCTCTTCTGATGCCCTCAGACTTTTGGTAGCGTTGTGGTTGACGCCAACACCCTGGCACTGGGTGGCATCCCGACAGACCTACATATGGCTGAGTGTTTGTTGTGGTGGCTGGGGGTAGACTCTAGCGATGATTGGGGTGTTTTACCACATCCCAGAACAGTTGCTGGGGTCTCTGAGCCATGTCTTTACCCTGTCTGAGTAAGAGCGCTGCCGTCACGCCCTTTCCCGTGCCACACACATGCTTGGATAGCAACGCGCAAAACACAAAAACGCCATAAAAGACAAAACACACATAAAACATGTTTAGTCAAAGAAGAAAAAAGGTGATTTAGACGCCCTGCTGTAACAAGCCTCTAATGTCAGGAGCCAGAATACAGTGCATCGTGGTGGCCTCCTCTGTCCCCTAGCATCTGACAGACAGACACACAAATACAGATTTACACTCTCATTACCGCAGAGCAGGATTATTCCAGTGCATCTACTGGATCTAAAACACAGAATGACTGTGTGGCATGTAGGTCATGAGTTTCACAGAATCTACAGCCTAAGACATCAGGATTAGAAACACAACAAATTACTAGATCTAGACCTTGCTTTGATGGTGAAGAAACACAATCACCCTGCAGTTTTAGGTTGACATGTTGGTTTTGAAAAATAAGGCATTTTAAATACTTTATGTCAATAGAGTTCTATATCTTAAACTGCGGCTAATTTAAGAGCCTTTTAAATCAATGCTAATATTTGCAGTTCAATTAAGTTAAATTTTGTTTAAATAGCAACACCTAACATTATCTCCAGGCACTTTACAGAATAAGGTCGAGACCTTACAACATTACAGAGAGAAACCTAAGAGTTCCCATGGTTCACAAGCAGTGGAGAGGAAAAACAGTCCTTAGTTCGAAAATGATTCATGTTATTAGAAAAAACAGGTCAACAGGTTCTTCGCTGTCATTGATTCAGTATTCTATAAACGAACATGTTGTGTTGCTGTGCCCAAACAAAATACAATGACTGGAAAGATGTTGAGAGGAAAGATGGCAATGCAGCTGTAGCATGATAATGCGTACTTTGTACTCCAAAAGCCTTTCCATTAGAGCCAGGAGAGATAGTAAATGAATCAATAAAAAGACTCATAGCACTTGACAGACAAATAAGATACTTTTTGAGCCAAATACTGAAAATGTGGTCTTTCCAGATTTGGCTTATATGATAATCAAGTCAAATTCTTTAAAGTTTTTGAAAACATAATATTACTCAATAATTAACAGTAGTGGCTGCGATACAGTAAAAGAAATGCTTTTGAAGCCAAGTCCTTTTTAAAAGGTTCTGTAGCTTAATGTGTCAGGTCACAACTAATAAGATTACAGAGTGTAATACTAGCAGGTCTTAGATTTACAATTAACTAGAGACTGCTTTACACACATTTGGGATTGTTTTAAAGTTAGAGTAACCATGAACACAATTCCTTGGGTTGATTTACTTCACATACAAATACATTGCTTATAAAAAAGGCAAATATTTGTGAACTTATAGAAAAAAACGTATGAGCGTGAATTTCCAGCCCCTATTCCATCCTTAAACTCCCTTCCAGACTTGTTCGTTTCCCACATCCTTCATCCCACATTCTCCTCTCCTGAGTAATCTGCCCTTCTCCCTGATGATGTCATCATGCATCACAGCATCATGCAGTTTGCTCCTATTTTCAGACACCTGCGCCATGGAGGAAAGCCAAACTACCACTTCCTGTGTGAGTGTGTGTGTGTGAGTGAGACAGAGAAAGGGGTGTCTGGGAATGGGGGGCTCATGGTGATCTCATCCTAGAGAATAAACCATGTCTGGTTTGTGCACCAGAATGTGCATGAGAGGCAGAATGGCCCAATAACAGAAACATCAAAAGCATAACTCAGTAGTTACATGTACAGTAGGAAATAAATGTATTAAGTGTAGCTTACAAAGACACTATACACATACAGTTTATGATCGAGATGTTCCCTTACCAATTTGTCTTTGAGCCTCTCGCCCTTGATGTGGAACTCCACAGCAGTGGGGCTAGGACTGGGACTGGGACTTGGACTAGGACTGGGGCTACAGCGGCCGAGGTTGCTGCTGCTTCCTCCGCTGCCTCCACTGTGGGTGCTGCCGCTGTCCTCCGCCCGGCTGACCTTATACACAGTGACACAGCTAAGGCCTCCGCCCCCCAGGGGAAGCCACCCACCGCTGGAGTCATCCCGAGTCATGACCACTGCTCTCACACGCGCATAACTGTCACTGTGGAGGAAAAAGTGAGGAAGAGGAGGGTGGGAGGGAAAAAAAGGACATGGGAAGAGCAAAGGTAAGACAATGACATCAGTGATTATAACCAGTGGTAACAAGCATCTAATAATTCCTTGAGGGCTCTCGTGTGCCTTCGCACAACATATCACCTAGATCATAAAAGCATTTCAACTATTCACTCTACATAAAATACCAGCCTACAACATATTTTTGAACTAAAGCAAAAACAAGTTGGACTACAGTCTATGTAGCCTACACAAAGCGTCCCTGATTAATTACTGAGACTGTGTGAGCCTGCCACAGTTTATTTGTCCTGCCTCAGTTTCATAATGACCTAAAAAGCTCATTGATTCTCTCATTCCCTCCTTGTACTGCTCTGTCACTCTCACAAATGTCTGTCATGGTCAGACTGGCTGTCCGGAGCATTGGTGGATCAGTGCACCATGAATAAAATCCATAAAGTTAGAGTCCTTTTCAGAGAGACAGACACCAATAACATAATACCTGCAGTGGATGTACGTGTTCCTGTGACAGGCACACAATTCTAAGCTAGCAGGAAGGACTCTGCATAACGCAAGCCCTCTTTGTTTACCTGTCGTTCAGGTACATATCACTAACAATCACAACATCCGCATGCTACCCCTATCAGCTTCCACCAAAGACAGAATCAAATTCAAAACCACTGCAAAATAGTGAATTTGAATGTTTTTACTGAATCATTCAACAAAACCACATCACACCAGCATTACTCTGATGATGAGATTAAATAGAACTCATGATTCTATGGGGAAATCTAAGTGGTGACAGAAGATATAACAAGTAAAAAGCAAAGAAGCAACAAAACTAAAAATAGAATATGGAGGGGTCAGAAATTCAACTTTGGATTGAATGTATTTTGGTTTTAGTTGCACATTTATCAAACCTTTGGCTGTGATTTCTAAAGTCTGAGGCTGTCGTGTATGTTTAACCTCAGCCAGAGGGTGATTGACCATGTGGCCGAGTTCGGGCTCTGGTCAATGATGATTTCAAACCTTTCCCTTAAAGTAGGTTGTTTTAAACTGGATGACCCATGACAAGGGCTCCATCTCACATCACCCTCTCTCCAGTCTGATCTCCCAGGATGCAATGATGTTGGTTGTCTTGTTCCTCTCTCATTTCACCAACTAGAGCTTTGAATTATGGGGTAATACATTGTAAGGCAGCTACATATGGAGGGAAGAAGAGCATGTACTATCATAAGAAGGCAAATATGGTTTGTTTTTTACAAATAAGGAATGAAATGTGGGAGAAATTATTCAACAAAGTTTCAAGGGTTTATAGAAAGCTGATGTGAAGCAGTGTGCAAAAAAATCCTAGAGCTTCAGGTTTTCTGAGACATTAAAATAGGGTTAGGGTTAGATTTTATAAAACGTTCTGGCCACACATCTGCTTGAGTTTTATGCACTGTTGCAACTCTGATGCATTCAATGAATTTTTTTTAATTTAAGCCTTAATCAACAGTCTGTACATAAATTATTGTATAGGGGCATCTGTAACTTTTTCCCCACTTCCAGACTACTGGATTTAGATTTTATCAAATTCTAGAAAGTCTGAACTAAAAAAGGAAAACACATCCACCACAATGTCACATCTCAATGTTTCACTATGACACTACAACAAATGTACCAAAAATATATGACTGTATGGCAACTTATATTGATGGGTAATCATAGATCTGTCCCTTATTACATTTCTCTCCCTTCCCATCTCCTGTGATTCTGTCCCTTCACTCAGAGTCAGATATTTCCCTGATTAGATAACACAGACTGTATTGGGACACCGGAAATGACAAAGGTCAGGGTGTGCTGAGGGCAGCATTTTGCACAAACTCCTGGTAACATATTAAAGACTGAGTAAGATCTGAGAGCTGAAATAAACAGGCAATGTGAGTGAAGAGTGTGACTGCCGGATGTCTTCCTGTGGCACATTGCTCCCTGACCAACATCCGAGTTCACCACTGAAGATGATATTACAGTCTGAATTGTTTTGTAAAAATATTAAATCTCTGACAGTGAACAAATTTGACTGAGTGGGAGAAACAACATGAAATGTGATACAAAGTTAACTAGGAGCTCATGCTACAATAGAAGAATAGCTGCTTCCTCCTACTTACTGCCTCTCCTCTAAATCTTGCCTACTCAATGAGACCAACCTTTGCTCTCCTGCCTTCCACACCCTTGACAAACCTCAGTCTCCAGGTTATTGGTTAGTAATTTATCTAAGAACCAGTAAGCATAAAATCTGAAGGAAATTGTTTCATGTGAAAACTCTGATATCATGGCACCTACCCTAAAAGTACTGATGGGCCAGATAAATATTGAAAATATTATATTTCTTAAATATACTGACTCTTTCAGCACTCATAATATTGTAGTCTACAATACAATAAGCTCTAAAGGCAACACCCAACACACAGTACGTAACTGTCATGTAAATATAGTGTAGCATTTATTACTTAAAGCACTCATACAAATACAGAGTTAAAAGAAAAATAGTATAGTTGTCTCTCCACTATTGGATAAGTGGCTATGAGCACAGCTCTAAATGAATGATAATAATGCTCCATAACTAGTGGAGGTGTAAATAATGAGTTTCCAATTAATGTTAAAGGGCGATGGTGACATTACAGAGTTAATGACTTTCTGTCCAAAAATATTATTGCAGTTTTAAATTAAAAGTTTTATATTTTTTATTTACCGTCGTGGAAAGCAAATCACTGGAATATGATGTTAATTACAACCGGAAGAAATTCCATGCTATTTTACCCAATATTCTTTAAAGTTTAGGAAAAATTGTAAATTTTGTAAAATTCACAAAATTGCCCATGAAAATAATCACAAATAAACAGAAGCAGTATGGAAAGACAATAACAGAATTGCTGCATCTCTAATTAACATAAATGTATTCATATCACAATCATTGGTTCTCTTTTTACGTGCTGTCCTGAGCTTAGACAACAGTAACAGACCGTGGGAAACTGACAGAATAACACTTGCTTGACTAACTTCCTCCTTGCAATCTCCAAGCAACAGCCTTTCTGGTTACACCTTATAACTATGCCACATAAGTAGTGCTTTCACCAACAAGAGAACGCCTGCAACAGCAGAAAAGTGCATTTTTGAGCATTATAGCAGGCAGTAAAAGAAGGAAATAGTGTTGCTGTTAGACCCTTGTATGGCCCCCAATAAAGGATGCCGGAGATGAGTGCAGGAGGGGCTGTCAGTCAGGCAGGGGTCCCTGGGGTGAACAGAAGGCAGGCGGTGGTGTCGCTCAGCCATGACCAGGGCACAATGACCAGGGCCTGACCCTTCAGACCTACCATCACACATGCCAGCAACCATGTCACTCTCAGAGAGGGGGGCTGGGCGCAGAGAGGAAGTTAAGTGGACTGTGTATACATGCATTTTTGCATCTAGTTTAAAACACCAAAGTTGCTATCGTTTTAAGAGGAAAAACTGATCTTTACTGCCCTACATGGTCAAAAATTCAAAACTACAATGCAGACCAACAACTAAACTCAACCGAGAACAAATGTTCTCCAACTAACACACAAAATCATTACAACAGGGGAATGAAAATACTCTATCCACTCCTCTTCCTATATAAAAGTCTATACTTTCTTTAACTAGAAACAGTGCTCCAAAAAGATATTCGAGTGCAACCTGCTGCAAACTACACAAACACACACACTGTTCAGAGTGGGATGGTGGAGACAAAGGCTGGACTCCACATCCCTTGCTGGGAGCACACAGTCGACTGGACACACAATTGAGAGCGGAAGCAGATCAGCTGGCCTGGGCCTGTGAGCAGGGGAGAGAAAGGGGGAGGAGGAGGAGGAGGGAGAGATAGAGAGAAAGGAACCCCCCATTCCAAATTATTCCAAGTTATTCTGCTGGATGACTGACTTCATTTCCGACTAAAAGCAGGAGAGAAAAACAGGGGGAGGGTTGAGAGTGTAACGGAGGACGGTGGGGGGAGGAGGAGGTGGCTGTGGATGGGAACAGGGTGGAGACCAAGGTGACGGTCAACAGCTCTCACCCGCATTTGAATACGGACTTCTCTATCCACAAAAACTATTTCCATAGGATATTACGGTATTTAAAAACATCTTAACATTTAAAACTTGTGATAGCAAAGTGCAAACAAAACGCCATGAAATCATGGTGTCATGTTAGAATGTAGCTTCCACTTTGAATAAATTGTACAAAGCGACGACATGATGGGGGAGCACGTGCAGATCAGGCAGGCCTCGGCCTCGAGGCCGGCTGCTCCAGTGTGTGGTGGAGAAGGGGGATCCTGGGACAACCATTTCCTAAGTGGACAAAGTGGCCGTTTGTCTGCTGCTGCGGCCCATGGCTCACTGGGCTCCAACATGCCATCATGCTTTGCTCCTGTCTCAACCTTGGGCTTCCCTTAGAGGAGAGGAATGGAGGGGAGGGAAGGGGTGTTTTGGGGAGGCTTGAAAGAAAGACAGGAGAGGGAGAAGAAGGAAAGGAGGAGAAGGAAGAGGAGGAGTACAGGAGGAGAGGAGAGGAGAGAAAGGATGTGGCCTGAGCCCTGGGTGCTTGCCAAGTCACCCTCCCTTTCCTCCGCTCCGTCTCCCTCCTCTACCCAACCCCTCCTCGGCTGCCTCTCTCTACACAATGGCCGCTTCTCTGCTGAAATTTCACGTTATTGGATCCCGGGCCTGGAGTTTTGTCCTCCCACAATGTCCAGGCAGCGGAGCATGCTGCAGGGGAGACACACTCTGCAAGCTAAAAGCTGGAAAACCATTCCTCCTTTCATTAGCATCAGAAAAGGGGAGAAAAGTCCCCCCTACCTCTTTTTTCCATCGGCCTTTTTCCTCCCCATCTCTACCCTGTATCAAAACTGGAGGAAGGCTGTCAAGCTCGGTCAAGCTCCACTAGACCACTTTGGCAGGACTTTTGACGGGAGAATCATTAAAATATCATTGG